AGGAAAGGGGGGGGGGGAGGAAGACCGGGCAGGGTAGGGTAAGATGAGAGAGCACATGACTGACAGGAATGAGAGGGCGATGTAGCGATGATGAATGTAGTGGTGCGTGTTTTGAGGTTTGTCGCTCCTAACTTGACGTGGCTCCATTACATGTTCCCAGAAAAGTGGGGAGAACATTTCATCGAGTCGCTGCTGAGGCTTGTTGGTTCAGGCATCGCACTATGGTGACTCCGCGGTTCGACTCTGAGAGAGTGGGCGCTCGATCGCTCCCCTGGTCTCCGAGGAGGAGCTCGTTCTCGGCCTCCAGGTCTTCACTGCTTGCTCCTTCTCCAGTCACTCACCCTGCAGCAGCCAAGGGACGGTGATGACGGGCGAGAGGTCGATGGAGATGTTTTTGTTTGCTGCTCAGCTGATGCTCACAGTGTTGGTAGGAGGATGGTTGGATACGCCGGGTTCGTACCTGGGTGAGCAATGGAGGAGGTGGGAGGGCAACGACAAGGGTCCACTGACTGCTTGTTTGCTCAAGATACGTGTCGAACAACGCGTATGGAAGCACTTGGGCCAAGGCTATGGAAGCAACCCAGCTGCAGCGAACAAGAGGGAGTTCACAGGTGAATGACGCATGTTTCCACAATGGCTCTTAGGGTGTCCTGCCCTGTCTCCTTTCTTTTCCTGTCGTTTCCTGTCCTGTCCTGCCCTGCCGTTTCCTGTCCTGTCCTGCCCTGATCTGACCTGACCTGACCTGACCTGACCTGACCTGACCTGACCTGTCCGTTTCCATCCTGCACTTGAGTATTCTTGCTCACCAAGTGTCATTTACAGAGCTGGGAATCCACTGGCTTCCGGACAAGCAAGTCTATCGACCATGAAATCCAAGATGTGCTGCTTGCTTTCCTCTCAGACTACTGCCTGCCTGCCTGCCTGCCTGCCTTCCTGCCTGCCTGCCTGTCTGTCTGCCTGCCTGCCTGCCTGTGTCTGTATCTCTCCCTTCCTCCCTCTCCCCCCTCCCTCTGAAGTGTTTCCCCCGCAGAACGAGATGAGAGATCTGTGGGAGAAAGACAACCTTGACCCGAGATACAGCAGATGGAACTTGTACGTTGATCAACGATGGAGAATGTCAGGGAATGACTGCTTTCTGCTTGTCTTCCAGGCACAATCTCAACCTCTGCAGAGACCCTAAGGTTGTTTCCGCATCCTGTAAGTCATCGACTTGAGGGGCTGGTTGGCAAACTGAGCATGATTGTGCTTGGCAGACATGGGCTACATTCCATACAAGAAGTCGGAGAATCTGATAGGAGCGACTTTCTTCAGGACGCTGCAAGTGAGAAGGGCCGCGGGTGCTGCTGCTGCTCTATTCAAAGCTGTTGCAGGCTTCATCGGCGCTCAAGGACCCACAGATGCAGGCTGAGTTCGACTCGCTGTGGACGAGCGGGGAGGTAGGATCTCCTCGTTCTGGGAGGTCACCAACGGGAGGGAAGGTTAGCAACGTTGTGGCGCCTTGCTGCGTCATCCTGCCTCTTCTCTTCAATGTTACCCTACCTCTTCCCTTGTCCGATCTCTTCCTTCATTCCCTTCCATTTCCTCCAGCAGCTTTTTTGGCCCTTCCCGCATTTCATCCCCATTTAGTTTTCTTCCTCCTTGGTTGCTACTTACCATTGCTATGCAGAAGAGAAGAGGGTCGAGCCTTCGCCTGCCCGTATCCAACGACGCGACGTACATCGATCGAGCTTTGAGCTTATCGCGGCACTTATAACTTCTTGCAGGGGGAGGGCCCCAGTCCACCTTGGCGCTGACATCAGTCCGCCATTTGTCTTACTCCTCCTTTCCTCCTGATCACAGTTGGCAGGAGCCTACACACCATGGCAGCTGCCCAAAGAGGAGGAGCTGAGAGGAACGTCGCTGTCCCCCATGCTGATGAGGTAGCGATGGAAGTTGTAGCGATAGGAAGACGAGTGGAGCAGAGCAGTAAGGGTGAGAGGCAGGTAGAAGGGGGTGGATGAGGAGGAGGGAGAGGGGATGAAGGGACATGCAAGAGAAGAAGTCGAGGATTAGGAAGGGGGTGTAAGATAACGCAGAGACGCAGGCGATCAGAGGATGAGGACGACGTGAATTTGGAGGGGATTCCGACCAAAGAAAGGTTCTCACACATCTCACATGATATTCCTTAACAGCCTCTCTCCTCCTCCTCCTCCTCCTCCTCCTCCTCCTCCTCCTCCTCCTCCTCCTCCTCCTCCTCCTCCTCCTCCTCCTCCTCCGTTGAAACTCGGTCCCCAGGTTGTCGTTAGGCACCATGAAGACCAACTGGAGTCTGCTGGACTGTGAGAGCAGGAGCGCAAGTGTGATCGAGACAGGTAACTCCTCCCCTTCCTTCCTCCTTCCTCTTTTGTTCTCCGCCTGCTTCTCCAGCCCCCATCCCTCTCCGCCCGGTTGATTGTATCCTCCTTCCAGCTCCGAGTCAGCGTTCCGCACTCGCTCCCCTCATCTTCAGGCTTCGCCCAAAGACAAGCCCACAAAGTTCGCAGAGCCCACTTAGCCCGATGTCCCCATCCTGACCCAACATGTTAAGACGACAATGAACGACAAGCAGGAAGCAGGAGGGAGTCAGGGACAGAGCAGGGTAGGAAGAGGCTGGGAGGGAAGGGGGCAAGATGCGAGAGGCGGGAAGCAGGGGATGGGAGGAGAAGCATGGTGATTTCTTACAGTCTCCGTCGGATCTTCTTGATGGACTCTGTCTGCTAGTTCCAAGGTTCCCTAGCTCCTCGACCAACTCCTCGTAAAATCTGCGCTGCTGTATGAGTTCCTCTCTCCTCGCCCTCGTTCACTCGCCAACCTCTCCATCACAGCCCCGTCTCCCTTCAAGCTCATCCTTTTTGACAGCCTTCCAAGACCCTGCATGCTCTCTTAGCTCCTCCTCTCCTCTCCTCTCCTCTCGCCCTCCCCTCCTCTCGCTCTCCTCACCTTCCAGAGGTCACCTACGGTACATCTCCGACTAGTCAGCGTCGCGCTCAGCTTCTGCAGGGCTGGTCCAAAATCCTTTGCGAGCGTTCAGCGTTACGACAAGAGCGAAAAGCAAGAGGAACGTTGGATGGGGTCAGTGAGAGGGAGGAAAAGGCAAGGCAGTGATCAACAAACCGAGGGGATGGGGCGTGGGGGTGAGAAGAAGCAAGGAAGACAGGAAGTAAATGAGGGTTGGAAGTGGGTGGGAGAGGGAGGATGGTGCGGAGGCCCAACCTCGTTGTAAGGGAAATATCGTATGCATACTCCCACATGGGAAGACGCGAGCCACTGCAGGAGCTGCAGACGTGTGAGGATGGCGGATAACTTGTAGCACCTCCTTACCGCCTTCAGAGGAGCAAACCCGCCAAACACGCCGCATCCCCAGTTGCCTAGAAGGGGAGCAATATGGTAAGTGCAAGCACAGAGATCCTATGTCACTTCCTCGGGTCTATGGTCCAGTCCACCTCTCCCTTGGTCTCTTACTCCTCACTCCGTCCCTCCCTGTCTTTTCTCCTTCTCCCTCTCTCTCTTCACCGGTTGCCAAGACGGAGAATTGCTTCACAGAGTCCTGTGGCGGCGAGCGTCAGGATAGCTTGAGGAGGAGGAGGAGGAGGAGGAGGAGGAGGAGGACTCACATCCATGAGAGAAAACCCTGCCGCGGCCTTGTTGATCTCCCTGAGCATCATGGCTTCCTGCAAGAAGCAAAACATTTCACAATACTGATCAATTCAGGAGGAAGGGAGAGGGAGGGGCGGGAGCCAGCAAGTTATGGAGAGGAGGCGGTCAAATCAGAGACAGGCGAGGAAGCTCGAGGGGAGGAGAACAGGCAGGGAGGGATGGAAGGAAGTCAAAGAGAGGGTCAGGGAGGGAGGAACGCCGTACCTGTAGCTGTACCCTTATGTTGAAGTCTCTTCGCCGCCCATCATACGCATCCATGGCAAATATTCCCCGAAGGATGGTACCTATCACCAACGTCGCTCAACCGATGAGCATTCACTCTCCGTTGCGATCTCCTTGCTCCTCCAAGCCCTCCCCCTCCCCCTCCCTTTTCCCCTTCCCTATCTCCCCCGCCCTCTCCCCGTATCCTCCCAGCACACAAACGCGCTCCCTCTAGCGCTCGCTCACCGTCATCTGCCTGCCTTTGATTGTCCACAAACGGGCCGGCGAACCTTAAACCAAACCCATAGCCCGAGTATGAAGAGAACTGAAACAAGAGCTTGTAAGACTCTTGTGAGTACTTGATGAAATATCCAACCTGCTCTGCTCCGAGGATTTGTATTGCCTCTGCAGGAAAAATCAATCAACAACCACTAAGGGGCGGTGCGATGAGAACAACCTCCAAGATTCAAGACGCTGCATGTCAGGCAGGATATGATCAGTTCGGGGCAGATCGAGAAACGAATCTCCTCCTGTCCAACACGATTTTATCGTGCGCTCAACACATCACATGAGAGGTTCAACCTGAACACAGCCTCCTGTCAACACCCCTCCTCCAATGTACATGTTCGCAAAGTCGGCATGCAGACAATCCTTCCCATTGTCATCGTCCTCGAACCCAACTCCAGCTGGAGCAACAGAAATGCCAAGGAGAGGCTTATTGCTGTTCTCCAGGATCCTTCCAAAGAAATATCATGTCAACAGATTCACATCGCAGTGCCTCGCTCTTACATCCCGTCAAGGTAGATCTTCTGTCGTATGATCGTGACACAACCAGGAACATGTCCGCTCTTTGTTCGCTCGAAGTAGTGGATGAACATTCTCAACTTTGCGCATTCCTGCACTGAGGTGTTCCTCAGCAGAACCTGGAAGGTGCAGGTAGGCATGGGCTCCTCCATCCCCCGCTGCTCTTGGAACGTGCACAGAAACATGTTTGCCATGAGGGATCTGACGAGCACACGAGGCAAGACGACTTTGAAAACAGCGCTGGTTGTAGTCTTGATGTCTTTGAGGAGGGGGATGCGATCAATGTTGCAACTCTTCATGACCTCCTGCAGTTTCAGCGCCGACTGAATGATATCCGGCAGAGTCTCCGTAAAGAAATTCTCGCAAGCTGGCCCTCCTCCTACTCCATCGATCGCTGCCTGAAGCCCGCGAAGCTGAGAAATGCCCGGAATATAAGCTTGCATGGCCTTAGTAAGCTCGTCCAAGTCCTTCGGAAACGGTAGGAGGGAATTACGAACCTTTTCCCACAGGGATTCGTTGTAGAATGGGAGGAATAGCGTCTCTCCCGGGACATGCGGGAAGGAAGACGAGAAGGATGATGATTCTGATGAAGTGTTGGTATCGTCTGACATGAGAGGAGGAGGAGGCATTCCTTGCGCGCTCCTATCTGCCATCTGGAAGATCCGGTCGGCTCAGGCCATGCAGGTAGGAATGGTGTGTGGTGGGGTACTCAAATTTGGGGTACTCATTCTACGGGGGTAGGGATGGTCTTATCTTTTAATAGACTTCATACCGGTAGTTCTACTAGTGAAAATAGGGGGTACCTCCTCGCTCAGACTGAACGGAGCATCCGGGGGACCATTTGAGATAAGACGAATTGCGAGGGTGAGGTAGTTTTAAGGGGGGTGGGGGTGCTCATGTAGTTTAATAAGTATTGTAATCTGCTACTAGCAAGTTTTAAATCATTATTACTCAGATCACCATTCACCGGGTCCTTTTAAAGTATCGAAGGGGGTGAGGGTAGATTTTATATTGATGGGAGTCGCTGGACATGGTGAATTATATCAGCATTGGTCATCACAAGGGTCCTTAAGGGGGTCAGTCAAGTGAAACTAATTGAATATTTTGCTGCTGTTTTCAAATATTTATATGGCTCAGAAATCAAAATTCCAAGATGCAGGCCATTCAAGGTGGTAGTGTCAGCAGGTGGTCATGCACTGTTCTGCCGGCTTCCGCGGATCCACCCCTTGCAGCCATGTCCATAATGAGTGTGACGGGGGAGGTGGAAATGGGAGGAGGAGGAGGAGGAGGAGGAGGAGGAGAAGGAGGAGGAGGTGGTGGTGGTCCCGTGTTGTGTCTATCGAATGAGCACCTCTTCATCGACCAGACCTCTATCGTCAAGCTTCTTCAAGGTACGCGCGACTTCCCATCCGAACTGCTCCATGCTCCTTTGGCGCTCGAGAACCGAGGGAGGATCATGCAGAATCCGCTGAGCAACCTGGACAACGTAGTCCTCAACAAGGCAGCGATGGCAGAGCAGGAGATGAGGAGCTTCAAGGCGGCTGGAGGGACCTTGGTCGTCGATACGACCGTGCCAGGTTAGGACCTTCTCTCGTCACTATGCACGTTGACGTCTATTCAGCGCTCGGTCGGAATCCGAAGATGCTGAGAAAGCTGTCGAAGCTCACTGGGGTGCACGTTGTGATGGGAACAGGGTTCAGCGTTCATGTGCTTCATCCCTCTTACCTAGTGGGTGAGAGTACCGATGAGATTGCAATGAAGATGGAGCGGGACCTGGTGGGAGGGTGTGTGGAGTCTGACGAGGAAGGAGCCATCAGAGCAGGCGTCATAGGAGGGATTGGTGTGTCCTCCAACTTCCATGATGAGGAGAGGAGGGTGCTGGTTGCCGCGGCAAGGGTGCAGGCAAGGACGGGAGCTCCTCTTTTCGTGGACCTGGAGCCGGGGTGCAAGCTTGGGAAGGAGGTGATGGACGTTGTTGCGTCGGAGGGTGCGAGCCTGAAGCGGACGGTGCTGCTGAACATGGCGTACTCTTGCGACGATAGAGACTACTTACGATCCGTCCTGGCTCGAGGCTGCAACGTGTCCATGGACTGTATCGGATGTTCTGGTGAGGAGGAGGAGGAGGAGGAGGAGGAGGAGGAGGAGGAGGAGGATGAGGATGAGGAGGAGGAGGAGGAGGCGCTGAGTTGAGTGTCTTGGATGCTCACGGGGACCTCGCAGGAGCGTTCCTGCAGCACTACAACGTCATGGCGCCAGGAGACGACCGCATCGCGCTCTGCATAGCCGAGATGGTCTCCCAGGGTACGACAGTATGACCAGCACGCTTGACGGTGTGACAAGGTCACGGCAGGCTATGGCGAGCAGATAGTCCTATCTCACGGCTTCCAGTACAAGATGCAGCTGGTAGGAGGAGGAGGGTTCGGACTGCAGCACATCCCTCGCAACTTCGTTCCGAGGATGATGGGCATGCGACTCGGTGCGGAGCAGATGGATCGGATCTGCAGGGGGAACCTTGCCCGCATCCTGTCCTACTACGTGAAGCCAGAGGAGTCGGAGCAGGAGGAGGAGGTGTGGGAGTGCAGCAGCTGCAAGCAGAGTGATGCTCTCTCCCTCGCCCTCCTCGTCCATGACTTTTGCTGACAGGTTTCCCCAAGTCGAGGCAGTCTTTCAGCAAGTTCACCTTCCAGTACTGCTCGACAACTTGTCTCTCTGCGCACAGGTGATAGGGACAGAACTCCCCGACCTCCTGCTGTTGTCCAGTATGATGCTGATGCTGTCCTGATGCTGTCCTGCTGCTGGTCCCTTGCTCCATCGACAAAGCTGTAATTACAACTTCTCTTGCCCTCTGCTGCGCTCCTCCTCCCTCCCTTGTCCCCGTGCCCGTCTTCCACTCTTTGTCTCCTGCTTCATCTATATTCACTGCCGACATATTTGCGAATTTTGCTGGAGCTCATGCTTGCTTTCTCACTTCACCTACAGGAAAGTAACGAACAACTGGAAAGATATCTGACGAACAGTGTTCCTGCCTTACTGTCTTCTTGTCTTCTTCCTCCATTCTTCACACCCGATCCAATTTCTGCTGACTCTTCCTATGACTACCTGCCCTCCATACCCTCTTCTTTCCCAGTCTTCTGGTGTATTGTTATCCCGTCGTCTTTCATCCTGTTAGTCTCAAATCTCTCTTCCTCTCCATCAGATCAGTCTTTCCTCTCTCTCTCCCCCCCCCCTTCCCTCCCTCCCCTCAACAGTTTTGTCGCTCTATCTTTTTCATCATCTTCGTTTACGGAATGGAAACAATCTTGCAACGATTGCCCTCAAACGGTGAACTACAGACTTGAGCGATCTCCTCCAACCCCTCCTGTTCCCTCTCCCTCCTCCCGACCCTCGACCGTCTTCAAGCAGGGCCTTCTCCTGCACCTCCTGCTCCTCCTCCTCCGCAACCTGCCGCAGTGATCTGGCTACATGCTCGTCTTCACAGTAGCCAACTTGCCGCTGCTCCAGGATCTGCGCACATGCGTCTAGCGCTGTCTTGTCCTTGGGATCGACTTCCAGCACTCTGCAGAAGGGTCAGGAGAAATGAGGTTCGGAGTGAGGAAGGCTTCCTCCTAAGCAGCAGCAGCGCGTCCTTATCATTTCCTTTCCCCTCCCACAGCAGCATAGCGTATTGGACCTGGGCCATGGTCAAGTACTCGCAAGGATTTCGTTCCCTTTCTGACCCCTCCAACTCCTGTTTGGACCCCCTCCTCCTTCCTCCTTGGCAAACCAGCCATGCAATCTCCCTCCAACTTCACTGTATCCTAACAACAGCACTTTCCCACCCTCTTTCCTCCCCTCGCTTCCCTGACAACAGCCGCTAGTGTCCTCCCCCCCCTCTGTGCCTTACCATGCACTCCCTGCTGTCTGGCTGGATTTCAAGAGCTTTCTTGAAGCTCTCCTCGGCCTCCTCCAGGTTCTCCATGCAGATCCATTGCTGTGTAGCAAGCTGAGAAATGAAGGGAAAAGAACCAGGACAGGGAAAGGAAAGGAGCAGCAAGAATGTGAAAAGAGGGGGAAGACAAGATCCATGAAAACTCTGATAATTCATATGAACATGAGGAAGAGGAGGATAAGAAGGATGATGGAGCGATGATAGAGCGATGATGATGATGATGGAGAAGATGTTGTTGTTGTTGTTGTTGTTGTTGATGATGATGATGGAGATGATGGAGATGATGGAGATGGTGGTGATGGTGGTTGTGGTGATGATGATGGCGGTGATGATGATGACGAGCAGGAGGAGGAAAAGGAGCGCACGAACGAACAAGTCAAGCCATCGTCATCCCTCACCAGTGCTGCATGGCGGAAGACAGCATGGAACGGAGGGGAGTGCGGGAGGGCTTCGAGCGCTTGCTGGTAGTACTTGACCGCTGCCTTGAGCTGCTGCATCCCTCCCTCCTCCTCGCAGATCTCAAACCAATGTCAGCGGCAGCTGAAGGGAGGAGGCGGTAGCAGACCATTCCATGCAGGATGAACGCTTCTGCTCTGAGCTCGTTGCTGACAGGAGGGTCCATGCTCAGAGCCTCCTCTAGAATGCCCTGTGATCGTGTGACGAGAGGGCGGAGAGCGGAGAGAGGAGACAGAGGAGGAGAACGAGAGGAAGGAGAGCAGAGGGGAGAGAGGGGAAGGGAGGGAGGATGGACCTTGGCAGGGAGGAACAAACGCTGATTGATGAGATGCTTCGCATGTTGAACCTTTTGTTGTCATTGTCATTGTCATTGTCATAGCTTTCCCCCTCACCCCTCCTCGTCATCCTCGTCATCCTCGTCCTCCTCCTCGGTACCTTCATCTCTCCGTTGTTTGGATCGACTTCTTGAGCCTTTTCAAAGATCTCGTTGGCATCTTCAGTTTCATTCGGCACAGCAGCACTGCCAAATCTACAATGAGAGGGAGGAGGGAGACGAGAAAGAGGAAAGAAGCGGAGAAGCAAGGGGAAGTGACGAGTCACCAGGAAGACAAGGGAGGGGCATCGGGTGGAACAGAGGGAAGGAGCAGCAGGACGACACAGCAGGACCGAAGAGAGACTGACGGAGAGAGGAGAGCATGTACAAGGATACGAAGAGAAGGAGACAACCTGGCATCTGTCTCGCCCTCCTGAGCGAGCAGCCTGGCGTAGTTGTTCAAGGATGGAGCATGCTCGGGATCTAGCCGAACAGCCTCCTTGAGCAGGAGGAGCGCACGTTGGTAGTCTGACTGGTCTTGGTTGCCCTCCCTCCTCTCCTCCTGGTATTTGTCCCACAGCAGCGCCGCATAATTGCTGTGCAGGAGACTTCGTTGGGGCTGCAGCTCTAGTGCCCTGGAGGGAGGCAGAGGCGAAGAAGCGAAGTTGACAGTAGGAGGATAAGGAAGGATAAGCAGGAGGGAGGAAGCAGGAGAGAGGGAGGAGGGAGGAGGGAGTGAAGGAGGGAGGAGAGGAGAAGAGAGGAAACGACAGAAATGTTAAAACCACGCATAACAGCTAGCAGGAGCATTGGAAAAGGAGACAGCAAAGACAGGTGAAGGTAGCAAACCTCTTGAAGAGTTGCCCGGCCCGCTCGAAACTCTTTCGGTTCTGAAGGATGTTTGCGTAGTTGGTCAATATGATGACGTCATCGGGCTTCAAGGAAAGAGCGGCGGAGAGCAGCTGCAGCAACGGAGGACAAGTAAGTGAAGCAAAAGACAATGAGGAGGAGGAGGAGATAGATGGGGCTACCAATTCAAAGAGGGAGGAGAGGGGAAGAAAAAGAGGAGGGGAGAGCAGGATGGGAAGCAGGAGGAGGAGGAAGAGCGAGAGGCGGACGAAGACTATGATGAAGTGGCATCACGAGGAGGAGGAGGAGGAGGAGGAGGAGGAGGAGGAGGAGGAGGAGGAGGAGGAGGAGGAGGAAGGACCATCTCTGATTCATCGTTGTAACCCTCAGGCGACTTGGCGGCGACCAGAGTTCCGAGATGACAGAGAGCGTCCGCATTCTTGCTGTTCATCTCCAGAACCCTCCTGCTCGACACCATCATCATGGAGCAAGACAACAATGGAAGAAAGACGAGAATCGAAGAGCTTAGTGACACAGCATGCGAAGGAGCAGCAGCAGCAGCAGCAGCAGCAGCAGCAGCAGCAAGCTGCAGCAGCAGCAAGCTGCAGCAGCAGCAGCAGTTTCACCTATAACAGCTCTCAGCCTCCCCGAGGTAGCCTTGTTGCTTCAGCAGACTAGCTTTGATAAACAACATTTCATCGTCGTCAGGGAATTTCTGTTGGTAAGAACTCAGTCAGCATGTTCACTGCCATGCTGTCGCTCAATACAACACCGCTCTCACGCTCTCATATCCTCCTTGTCTATTCCTACCTTCTCCGTCCGTATCCCTCCGCTCTCTTTCTCTTGCTCCTCTCCCCCAGATCGTCCCGTGCCTTGATTTCTCAATCCCCCTCCTCTTTCCACCCAACCCGTCTACCTGCCTCCTCTCCTCCTCTCCCGTCCGCCCTCACCTTGCACGCCTGGAACACCACTTCGTTGGCAGCAAAGAAGTCTCCCTTGAGAACCAGCAGGCGCACGAGACGCAGGACGACGCTGGGCTGAGGGCCCACCTGAGTGATCAGCTCCTGCATGACCTTGACAGCCTCGTCGACCTCGCCTTCCTGCATGAGCGCACTGACCCTCTCCAACAGCGAGCTCGTTGTCCTCTCGAAGCTGTCAACTTCCACAGTCTCCTTCTCCTGCTCCTTCTCCTTCTCCTTCTCCTTCTCCTTCTCCTTCTCCTCCTCCTCCTCCTTCTCCTCCTCCTCCTCCTCCTTGGCTTGCAAGCTGCTCCTACTCACAGTGTCCTCCCCTTCTCGCTCTCTCTCTCTCCTCTCATTGTCCACCCACGCCAGCCCTATAGGGAGCGGGTCCCCGTAAACCTTTCTAGGATCCTCCGAGTCGTCCAGCCGTACAAGGAAGTCTACTCCCTTCCCCCTCATTCGAAGCATCGCCGTCGCTCTTCGACCCGCATGCCCCCCCCATCTCATGCTGCCATGCTCTTCCGATCCCGTGATGGCGGAAGGTGTGCATGAGGAGGAGAGGCCCAGGGGGAGGAGCAAGGCGAGCAATGCGAACCTTGGGACGATTCCTCCTCGCTCGCTGCAAGGAGATCGGCACGAGCGGTTGGACAATGGTCCTCCTACCCGCCTTGGGAGTGAAGAACTGTGCCGAGGAGACGTCGTGGTGAGGAGAGAGGCGGCGGAGGAGGAACATGAATCTGGTGAAGGTGTTCGATGCGAGGAGCGATTCAGGGCACCGGAGCAATGTAGCACAGGTTTGTGAAAGGGAGGGGGCACAAAGGAAGTGGAGAACAGGATGGTGACATTGGGGGTTTGAGGGGAGTGAATGGGAGCAGAGGAAAGGAGAGTCGACGACTGTGAAGGAGATGGAGACCTACTATGTGTAGGAAGAGGAGGAAGAGGAGGAAGAGGAGGAAGGGCAGTAGATGGGTTAGGAGCAGGAGCAGGAGCAGGAGCAGGAGCAGGAGCAGGAGCAGAAGAGTACATGTGAGCAGCTGGTACGCCCATCCCTCTGCCTCCCCGACAGCCTGAGGAAATTTCGGAAACTTTTGCATGTCGAGTTTGAGAAATCCAGTTGCTCAAAGTTCGGAAAGTTTCGCCCGCACATGCTGAGCAGGCGCATCGCTGGTATCGTGGCGCCATGGACGGGAGCCTGCGTGAGGAGCTCAACGGGCGCGATGAGCAGAGCGAGAGGAGGAGGAGGAGGAGGAGGAGGAGGAGGAGGAGGAGGAGGAGGATACTCGTCAGTGATGGAAAGACGAGATGTTTTGCCAGTGGTAGGAAGAGGGAGGTCTCTGCTAGGGATAGAGGGATGGAGGGGATTCTGCAGCTTGGGGGAGCCAAAGAAGAGGAGGAAGAAGAAGACGAAGAACGTCGTTGATGCAGGTCCTCTGACGGTACCCATGGATGACGAGGAAGCGCTGTTGACGCTGAGGGAGAGGATGAAGAATAAGGCGGCTGAGCTCGGTCTGTGGAGGGCGAATGTGACTACCAGCGAGCCATCGCAGAGGATGGAGGCGTTTGAGAGATGGATAGAGAGCGGGTACCACGGAGAGATGAACTTCCTGGCGCGCGAGGATCGAATGAGAAGGCGAAAGGATCTCTCAGGTAGAGAGGAGGGCAGTTGTTGTTACGTCAGGGCTGGGAGGAGGGAGGGAGGGG